TAGGGGCGGCTATCTCTAGGGGCGCCTATCTCTATGGGCGCCTATCTCTAGGGGCGCCTATCTCTATGGGCGCCTATCTCTTTGGGCGCCTATCTCTATGGGCGCCTATCTCTAGGGGCGCCTATCTCTAGGGGCGCCTATCTCTATGGGCGCCTATCTCTATGGGCGCCTATCTCTAGGGGCGCCTATCTCTATGGGCGCCTATCTTTAGCGGCGCCTATCTCTATAGGCGCCTATCTCTAGGGGCGCCAATCTCTAGGGGCGCCTATCTCTATGTGCGCCTATCTCTATGGGCGCCTGTCTCTAGGGGCTCCTATCTCTAAGGGCGCCTATCTCTATGGGCGCCTATCTCTATGGGCGCCTATCTCTAGGGGCACGTATCTCTAGGGGCGTCTATCCCCAAGGGCGCCTATCTCTAGGGGCGCCTATCTTTAGGGGTGCCTATCTCTAGGGGCGGCTATCTCTAGGAGCGCCTATCTCTATGGGCGCCTATCTCTAGGGGCGCCTATCTCTATGGGCGCCTATCTCTTTGGGCGCCTATCTCTATGGGCGCCTATCTCTAGGGGCGCCTATCTCTAGGGGCGCCTATCTCTATGGGCGCCTATCTCTATGGGCGCCTATCTCTAGGGGCGCCTATCTCTATGGGCGCCTATCTTTAGCGGCGGCTATCTCTATGGGCGCCTATCTCTATGGGCGCCTATATCTAGGGGTGCCTATCTCTAGGGGCGGCTATCTCTAGGGGCGCCTATCAATAAGGGCGCCTATCTCTATGGGTGCCTATCTCTATGGGCGCCTATCTCTAGGGGCGCCTATCTCTTGGGACGCCTATCTCTAGGGGCGCCTATCTCTAGGGGCGCCTATCTCTAGCGCCGCCTATCTCTAGGGGCGCCTATCTCTGAGGGCGCCTATCTCTAGGGGCGCCTATCTCTATGGGCGCCTATCTCTATGGGCGCCTATCTCTATGGGCGCCTATCCCTAAGGGCGCCTATCTCTATGGGCGCCTATCTCTATGGGCGCCTATCTCTATGGGCGCCTATCTCTAGGGGCGCCTATCTCTATGGGCTCCTATCCCTAAGGGCGCCTATATCTATGGGCGCCTATCTCTATGGGCGCCTATCTCTAGGGGCGCCTATCTCTAGGGGCGCCTATCTCTATTGGCGCCTACCTCTATGGGCGCCTATCTCTATGGGAGCCTATCTCTATGTGCTCCTATCCCTAAGGGCGCCTATCTCTATGGGCGCCTATCTCTATGGGCGCCTATCTCTAGGGGCGCCTATCTCTAGGGGCGCCTATCTCTATGGGCTCCTACCCCTAAGGGGGCCTATATCTTTGGGCGCCTATCTCTATGGGCGCCTATCTCTAGGGGCGCCTATCTCTAGGGGCGCCTATCTCTATGGGCGCCTACCTCTATGGGCGCCTATCTCTAGAGGCGCCTATCTATAGGGGCGCCTATCTCTAGGGGCGCCTATTTCTAGGGGCGCCTATCTATAGAGGCGCCTATCTCTATGGGCGCCCATCGCTAGGGGCGCCTATCTCTGAGGGCGACTATCTCCAGGGGCGCCTATCTCTAGGGGGGCCTATCTCTAGGGGCGCCTATCTCTAGGGGCGCCTATCTCTATGGGCTCTTATCTCTAAGGGCGCCTATCTCTATGGGCGCCTATCTCTATGGGCGCCTATCTCTAGGGGCGCCTATCTCTAGGGGCGCCTCGCGCCTATCTATAGAGGCGCCTATCTCTATCGGCGCCCATCTCTAGGGGCGCCTATCTTTGAGGGCGACTATCTCTAGGGGCGCCTATCTCTATGGGCGCCTATCTCTAGGGGCGCCTTTCTCTAGGGGCGCCTATCTCTTGGGGGGCCTATCTTTAGGGGCGCCTATCTCTAGGGGCGCTTATCTCTAGGGGCTCCTATCTCTAAGGGCGCCTATCTCTATGGGCGCCTATCTCTATGGGCGCCTATCTCTAGGGGTGCCTATCTCTAGGGGCGCCTATCTCTAGGGGCGCCTATCTCTAGGGGCGCCTATCTCTAGGGGCGCCTATCTCTATGCGCGCCTATCTCTAGGGGTGCCTATCTCTAGGGGGCGCCTAAATCTGTGGGCGCTTATCTCTATGGGTGCCTATCTCTGGGGGCGCTTATCTCTATGGGCGCCTATCTCTATGGGCGCCTATCTCTAGGGGCACGTATCTCTAGGGGCGTCTATCCCCAAGGGCGCCTATCTCTAGGGGCGCCTATCTTTAGGGGTGCCTATCTCTAGGGGCGGCTATCTCTAGGGGCGCCTATCTCTATGGGCGCCTATCTCTAGGGGCGCCTATCTCTATGGGCGCCTATCTCTTTGGGCGCCTATCTCTATGGGCGCCTATCTCTAGGGGCGCCTATCTCTAGGGGCGCCTATCTCTATGGGCGCCTATCTCTATGGGCGCCTATCTCTAGGGGCGCCTATCTCTATGGGCGCCTATCTTTAGCGGCGCCTATCTCTATAGGCGCCTATCTCTAGGGGCGCCAATCTCTAGGGGCGCCTATCTCTATGTGCGCCTATCTCTATGGGCGCCTGTCTCTAGGGGCTCCTATCTCTAAGGGCGCCTATCTCTATGGGCGCCTATCTCTATGGGCGCCTATCTCTAGGGGCACGTATCTCTAGGGGCGTCTATCCCCAAGGGCGCCTATCTCTAGGGGCGCCTATCTTTAGGGGTGCCTATCTCTAGGGGCGGCTATCTCTAGGAGCGCCTATCTCTATGGGCGCCTATCTCTAGGGGCGCCTATCTCTATGGGCGCCTATCTCTTTGGGCGCCTATCTCTATGGGCGCCTATCTCTAGGGGCGCCTATCTCTAGGGGCGCCTATCTCTATGGGCGCCTATCTCTATGGGCGCCTATCTCTAGGGGCGCCTATCTCTATGGGCGCCTATCTTTAGCGGCGGCTATCTCTATGGGCGCCTATCTCTATGGGCGCCTATATCTAGGGGTGCCTATCTCTAGGGGCGGCTATCTCTAGGGGCGCCTATCAATAAGGGCGCCTATCTCTATGGGTGCCTATCTCTATGGGCGCCTATCTCTAGGGGCGCCTATCTCTTGGGACGCCTATCTCTAGGGGCGCCTATCTCTAGGGGCGCCTATCTCTAGGGCCGCCTATCTCTAGGGGCGCCTATCTCTGAGGGCGCCTATCTCTAGGGGCGCCTATCTCTATGGGCGCCTATCTCTATGGGCGCCTATCTCTATGGGCGCCTATCCCTAAGGGCGCCTATCTCTATGGGCGCCTATCTCTATGGGCGCCTATCTCTATGGGCGCCTATCTCTAGGGGCGCCTATCTCTATGGGCTCCTATCCCTAAGGGCGCCTATATCTATGGGCGCCTATCTCTATGGGCGCCTATCTCTAGGGGCGCCTATCTCTAGGGGCGCCTATCTCTATTGGCGCCTACCTCTATGGGCGCCTATCTCTATGGGAGCCTATCTCTATGTGCTCCTATCCCTAAGGGCGCCTATCTCTATGGGCGCCTATCTCTATGGGCGCCTATCTCTAGGGGCGCCTATCTCTAGGGGCGCCTATCTCTATGGGCTCCTACCCCTAAGGGGGCCTATATCTTTGGGCGCCTATCTCTATGGGCGCCTATCTCTAGGGGCGCCTATCTCTAGGGGCGCCTATCTCTATGGGCGCCTACCTCTATGGGCGCCTATCTCTAGAGGCGCCTATCTATAGGGGCGCCTATCTCTAGGGGCGCCTATTTCTAGGGGCGCCTATCTATAGAGGCGCCTATCTCTATGGGCGCCCATCGCTAGGGGCGCCTATCTCTGAGGGCGACTATCTCCAGGGGCGCCTATCTCTAGGGGCGCCTTTCTCTAGGGGCGCCTATCTCTAGGGGTGCCTATCTCTAGGGGCGCCTATCTCTAGGGGCGCCTATCTCTAGGGGCTCCTATCTCTAAGGGCGCCTATCTCTATGGGCGCCAATCTCTAGAGGCGCCTATCTCTATGGGCGCCCATCTCTAGGGGCGCTTACCTCTAGGGGCACCTATCTCTAGGGGCGCCTATCTCCAGGGGCGCCTATCTCTAGGGGCGCCTATCTCTAGGGGTGCCTATCTCTAGGGGGGCTATCTCTAAGGGCACCTATCTCTATGGGCGCCTCTCTCTAGGGGCGCCTATCTCTATGGGCGCCTATCTCTTTGGGTGCCTATCTCTATGGGCGCCTATCTCTAGGGGAGCCTATCTATAGGGGCGCCTATCTCTATGGGCCTCTATCTCTATGGGCGCCTATCTCTATGGGCGCCTATCTCTATGGGCGCCTATCTCTAGGGGCGCCTATCTCTAGTGGCGCCTATCTCTAGGGTTGCCCATCTCTAGGAGCGCCTATCTCTAGGGGCGCATATCTCTATGGGCGCCAATCTCTAGGGGCACCTATCTCTATGGGCGCCTATCTCTATGGGCGCCTATCTCTATGGGCGCCTATCTCTAGGGGCGCCTATCTCTAGGGGCGCCTATCTCTATGGGCGCCTATCTCTATGGGCGCCTATCCCTATGGGCGCCTATCTCTATGGGCGCCTATCTCTATGGGCGCCTATCTCTAGGGGCGCCTATCTCTATGGGCGCCAATCTCTAGGGGCACCTATCTCTATGGGCGCCTATCTCTATGGGCGCCTATCTCTATGGGTGCCTATCTCTAGGGGCGCCTATCTCTAGGGGCGCCTATCTCTATGGGCGTCTATCTCTATGGGCGCCTATCTCTATGGGCGCCTATCTCTATGGGCGCCTATCTCTATGGGCGCCTATCTCTATGGGCGCCTATCTCTATGGGCGCCTATCTCTATGGGCGCCTATCTCTATGGGCGCCTATCTCTAGGGGCGCCTATCTCTAGTGGCGCCTATCTCTATGGGCGCCTATCTCTATGGGCGCCTATCTCTAGGGGCGCCTATCTCTATGGGCGCCTATCTCTAGAAGCGCCTATCTCTATGGGCGCCTATCTCTAGGAGCGCCTATCTCTAAGGGCGCCTATCTCTATGGGCGCCTATCTCTATGGGCGCCTATCTCTATGGGCGCCTATCTCTATGGGCGCCTATCTCTATGGGCGCCTATCTCTATGGGCGCATATCTCTATGGGCGCCTATCTCTATGGGCGCCTATCTCTATGGGCGCCTATCTCTATGGGCGCCTATCTCTATGGGCGCCTATCTCTATGGGCGCCTATCTCTAGGGGTGCCTATCTCTATGTGCGCCTATCTCTAGGGGCGCCTATCTCTAGTGGCGCCTATCTCTAGGGGCGCCTATCTCTATGGGCGCCTATCTCTAGGGGCGCCTATCTCTATGGGCGCTTATCTCTAGGAGCGCCTATCTTTAGGGGCGCATATCTCTATGGGCGCCAATCTCTAAGGGCACCTATCTCTATGGGCGCCTATCTCTATGGGCGCCTATTTCTAGGGGCGGCTATCTCTATGGGCGTCTATCTCAAGGGGCGCCTATCTCTAGGGGTGCCTATCTCTATGGGCGCCTATCTCTATGGGCGCCTATCTCTATGGGCGCCTATCTCTATGGGCACCTCTCTTTAGGGGCGCCAAACTCTAGAGGCGCCTATCTCTATGAGCGCCCCTCTTTACGGGCGCCTATCTCTAGGGGCACCTATCTCTAGGGGCGCCTATCTCCATGGGCGCCTATCTCTAGGGGTGCCTATCCCTATGGGCTCCTATCCCTAAGGGCGCCTATCTCTATGGGCGCCTATCTCTATGGGCGCCTATCTCTATGGGCGCCTATCTCTAGGGGTGCCTATCTCTATGGGCGCCTACCTCTATGGGCGCCTACCTCTAGAGGCGCCTATCTCTAGAGGCGCCAATCTATAGGGGCGCCTATCTCTAGGGGGCCCTATCTCTAGGGGCGCCTATCTCTAGGGGCGCCTATCTCTATGGGCGCCTATCTCTATGGGCGCCTATCTCTATGGGCGCCTATCTCTAGGGGCGCCTATCTCTAGTGGCGCCTATCTCTATGGGCGCCAATCTCTATGGGCGCCTATCTCTAGGGGCGCCTATCTATATGGGCGCCTATCTTTAGAAGCGCCTATCTCTATGGGCGCCTATCTCTAGGAGCGCCTATCTCTAAGGGCGCCTATCTCTATGGGCGCCTATCTCTATGGGCGCCTATCTCTATGGGCGCCTATCTCTATGGGCGCCTATCTCTATGGGCGCCTATCTCTATGGGCGCATATCTCTATGGGCGCCTATCTCTATGGGTGCCTATCTCTATGGGCGCCTATCTCTATGGGCGCCAATCTCTATGGGCGCCTATCTCTATGGGCGCCTATCTCTAGGGGTGCCTATCTCTATGTGCGCCTATCTCTAGGGGCGCCTATCTCTAGTGGCGCCTATCTCTAGGGGCGCCTATCTCTATGGGCGCCTATCTCTAGGGGCGCCTATCTCTATGGGCGCCTATCTCTAGGAGCGCCTATCTTTAGGGGCGCATATCTCTATGGGTGCCAATCTTTAAGGGCACCTATCTCTATGGGCGCCTATCTCTATGGGCGCCTATCTCTAGGGGCGGCTATCTCTATGGGCGTCTATCTCAAGGGGCGCCTATCTCTAGGGATGCCTATCTCTATGGGCGCCTATCTCTATGGGCGCCTATCTCTATGGGCGCCTATCTCTATGGGCACCTCTCTTTAGGGGCGCCAAACTCTAGAGGCGCCTATCTCTATGAGCGCCCCTCTTTACGGGCGCCTATCTCTAGGGGCACCTATCTCTAGGGGCGCCTATCTCCATGGGCGCCTATCTCTAGGGGTGCCTATCTCTATGGGCTCCTATCCCTAAGGGCGCCTATCTCTATGGGCGCCTATCTCTATGGGCGCCTATCTCTATGGGCGCCTATCTCTAGGGGCGCCTATCTCTATGGGCGCCTACCTCTATGGGCGCCTACCTCTAGAGGCGCCTATCTCTAGAGGCGCCAATCTATAGGGGCGCCTATCTCTAGGGGGCCCTATCTCTAGGGGCGCCTATCTCTAGGGGCGCCTATCTCTATGGGCGCCTATCTCTATGGGCGCCTATCTCTATGGGCGCCTACCTCTATGGGCGCCTATCTCTAGAGGCGCCTATCTATAGGGGCGCCTATCTCTAGGGGCCCCTATCTCTAGGGGCGACTATCTCTAGGGGCGCCTATCTCTATGGGCGCATATCTCTAGGGGCGCCTATCTCTATGGGCGTCTATCTCTAGAGGCGCCTATCTCTATGGGCGCCTATCTCTAGGGGCGCCTGTCTCTAGGGGCGCCTATCTCTATGGGCGCCTATCTCTATGGGCGCCTATCTCTAGGGGCGCCTATCTCTATGGGCGCCTATCTCTATGGGCGCCTCGCGCCTATCTCTAGAGGCGCCTATCTCTATGGGCGCCCATCTCTAGGGGCGCCTATCTCTATGGGCGCCTATCTCTAGGGGGGCCTTTCCCTGGGGGCGCCTGTCTCTAGGGGGGCCTTGTGAGAATCAATGAACAGGAATGGAAATGACTAAGTCAGAGTTGGGTACAAATACAACCCTATAAATCTGTACCCCATATGTGCTACCCCACTATAGCCTACAAACATGCATCAGCTATGATAATCTGACACACCCCCATAGGCAAAGTGGGGGAGAACAAGGGGTCACAAGACCAGTCAAGCAAAGCAAAGCAAAGCAAGCTCAGGGTGGATCACAAAGTCACCACACAGTCCGAGCACAAGAGCAGGGCCAGAGGCCAGTTCACATGCAGGAGTACAGACATATATATAAAACTAGACACGCAAGAGCAGGTATATATATATGTCACAGTACAAGTGAAGTCAAGAGGAGAGCAAGTGAGGCAAGACAGGCACAAGACCCAGCTGGGTGCAAAAGCGCTGATGGTCACAAGGCGCGAGTGCCTTGGTGAACACATCAGCAGTGTTGGCCTCAGAGGCCACGTACGCAAGTCGCAACTGACCACGCTGCTGCAGCTCACGAGCAAGGAAGTAGCGGAGAGCAATGTGCTTCGTTCTGTGCTCCAAGCGCTGCTCTCGACACAAGGTCAGCATGGCCTTGTTGTCTACGTACAGCACTGGAAGAGAACTAGGCGGCTCTCCAAGGTCATTCAGCAGGTAGGTGAGCCAGCGAAGCTCCTGTGCAGCCATGGCCCCGGCGTAGATCTCAGCCTCACAACTGGAGCCGAGAACCGAAGACGAGCGAGTAGACCGCCACGAGACAGAGCCGGAACCAAGGCTGAAGGTGTAACCCTGTGACGACCGCTGCGTAGCCTGGTCGTCAGCCCAAGAAGCGTCCGCGTGGCCGGTAAGGACCACTGGACTCCGCCCTCCAAGCACTAGCCCCATGCCCGACGTACTGCACAGGTAGCGCAATACCCTCTTAGCTGCAGCCATGTGCTCTGGTCTGTGTCTCCCAGGAGCAACATAGCGTGCAAGAATGCTCAGAGGGTATGCAAGGTCAGGTCGTGTGCAGGTCATCAGGTACATGAGGCAGCCAACAAGCTCTGCATACGGACCACTCGACTCTACGGACTCATCCGAAGGCAGAGCTGAGAGTGAGTGGCGAGTAGGCAGAGGAGTGGCCTGAGGCGAGGAGTACGTGAAGCCGAAGCGCTGAAGGACCTGCTGCACCATGTGTGACTGCGTCAAGGTAATGGTGCGGCGTGCTCTGTCCCGAGTGATCTGCAAGCCAAGGTAGCTGCGCAGTTCACCCAGGTCTGTGCACGTGTGTCTCTTCAGCAGCTCGGACTTCACGTAGGCGAGTCCAGCAGTGTCCGCTGTGGCAAAGACCAAGTCGTCGACGTACACGAGGATGTAGAACGGCGGCACGGAAGTGTCGGTGCGAAGAAACAGCGACGGGTCAGCAGTAGAAGGAGCAAACCCAAGGGCCGCAAGCGTAGTCCTCAGTGTGTCTTGCCACTCACGCGGTGCCTGGCGGAGACTGTAGACTGGCCGTCGGAGGCTCCACTGGGTGCCAGGAGGGAAAGTCCCAGTGAAGCCAGGTGGACGGCGAAGCCAGATCTCCTCGTGCAGGCTACCCTGCAAGAACGCAGTGCTGAAGTCGAGAGAGTGAAGCTCGTAGTCGCGCTGAGCGGCTATGTGCAGCAGCACCCGAAGAGTAGTCATCTTCAGGGTGGGAGAGAAGGTCTGAAAGTAGTCAACTCCCTGCCGCTGACTGAAGCCACGAGCAACGTACCGTGCCTTGAAGACAGGTGGAGAGCCCGGCGGCCGCTTCACCCTGAAGATCCACATGCCACTGACGATGTTCGCCCCAGGAGGGGGAACCGCGTCAACGTAGGTGCCTGTGGACTTCCAGGAAGCCATCTCTGCATCCATAGCTGCCTGCCACTGAGAGGAGTAGGGACCCTCTACGGCCTCCGCGTAAGAACGCGGAGTCGGGATGTCTAGTGCATCCGGGTCTCCCTCAGGGGCAAGCAGTACAGACGCGAGATGAGGTGAAGCAGCCGCTAGACACTGTAACTCCTCCTGCCTGTCCTCAAGGACGTCCATGCCAAGAGCACACTCACCCCCGACGGACGGAGGACAGACAGACGCAGACTCAGCAACAAGACTAGCAGCGTAGTCGAGACGACAGCAAGCAGCAAAGTCGACGAGCTCAGCGACTAGAGCAGACGCAGCAGTGGACTCAAAAGAGGGGTCAGTGACGACAGTAGCAAGCAGACGCGTGACAGTAGGACTGGCAGCACGAAGAGAGTCCGACTCAGGGTCGGCAAGCGCAGGAAGAGAGGACTCAGGAGGAGAAGGCAAAGGGGCACGCAGAGGAGCAGTGGACGGACGCAAAGACATCCGGTGCGTGCCAGGGACAGGAGGAGGACGCTGACGCGAACCGCGACCACTAGCGCGAGCAGCACGAACAGGCGACGCGGGACGAGACGCAGGCTCACGACGCTCAGCAAGACCTCCAGTAGGACCAGTGTAAGGAGAGGGAGCAGGTAGTGGAGAGGAAGGCTCCAGCAGGGACTGCGACTGGACAGGCGGTGGACCCTCTACTGGAGGAGAAAGACCAAGAACCTGCTGCAGGAGCGGAACGAAGTACGGCCGAGGCCGCGCGGCAGCTCCAGACTCAGCAGGGACAGCACCAGCACCCTCAGCGATAGCACCAGCGCCACCCACACCTCCAGCGGCAGGACCAACAGCAGCAGGCTCAGCACCAACGCCCTCAGCAGCTCCAGCTCCAGGAGGACCCGCAGGTCGAGCAGCTCCGGGACCGGCAGCACCCGCACCCTCGACGGTTGAAGAAGCTCCAGCTCCAGCTCCAGCAGCACCTCCAGACTCAGCAGCACGCCTCCAGCGGCGAGCGAACCACTCGCGCAGCTCCTGTGGAGAGAGGGGCTCCCGGCGAGACGCAGCAGTAGGAGAAACCCCAGGCTCAACAGCTCCAGACGCAGCACCCCCTGGCTCACCAGCTCCCAGCTCAGCACCCCCAGGCTCAGCAGCTCCCGACCCAGCACCCCCAGACCCAGCACCTCCAGGCACAGCACCCCCCGGCTCAGCACCTCCAGGCTCCGCACCCTCCGCAGTAGCACCCTCAGGCCCAGCACCCCCAGCAGTAGCACCCCCAGGCTCAGCACCCCCGCGCACAGCACCCCCAGAGTCAGCACCCCCAGGCTCAGCACCCGCAGCAGCACCAGAGTCACCAGTAACCTCGACCGGGTCAACGGCGTCTACCTGGGACACACCTGAGGGGGCAGGAACCCGAGGGGGGAGGGGGTCTACCGGGGGAGGAACCGGCACAAGGAAGTCCGGGGGAGGGGGGAGGGAAGGAGTGCGGTAGGGGAAGAGACGGTAGAAGGGGACTGACTCGTCGAACGTGACGTCCTGGGAGGACAGAACACGACGAGAGGAGGGGTGGTAAAACTGCCACCCTGGGGCGTTAGTGGGGAAGCCAAGGAAGACACAGGGAGCGGCACGAGGGGACAGCTTGTCCGCAGACAAGTCGCGGACAAACGCCCGAGATCCCCAGACACGGAACACAGACGCATCGCCAACCTTCCCCGTCCACAGCAAGGCTGGGGACATCGCAGGCCGAGAGACCCGGGGGTGAAGGTTGAGCTGATGCGCCGCGTACCTCACCGCAAACGGCCACAGAAAATGGGGGGCAGCCGCATGCATCATGGACGTACGAGCGACATCCATGACCATGCCAATGCGGCGCTCAGCAATCCCATTTTGCTGTGGTGAGTCCGGAAGCGTGAAGGTCTGGCGGATCCCCCGTGCACGACAGTAGTCTCGTAGAAGGCGAGAAGAGAACTCTCCGCCTCTGTCCGAGTGCAGACGCAGAACAGGGAAGTCCGAGCCGAAGCTCTTCCTGAGCTGGAGACGAGCCTCGCGGATCCAGTCGATCAGCACCTCAGTGACCGCACCCTTGCTGCGCAAGGGGAGGACTGTGGTGTAACGCGAGTAGTCGTCAACCACCAACAGGAAGTAGCGCTCGTGACCCTGCCCACGGACGGGGGCTGGGCCCCACACATCCATGTGAAGCGTCTGCAGGGGAGCCTCTGTCGGGGGAAAGTGGGAGGAGTGAGGAGTAGCCCGGAGGCGACCCTCGACACAGGGGACACAGGAAGGTCCTGGCCCGGAGGGGAGAGGAGGGAGAGACTGGGGAAGACCAGAGACAAGGACACGGGAAGCCATGCTCCGAAGACGGGGCAAGGAGGGGTGGCCAAGACGGTGGTGCCACAGGAGAGTCTCGTGAGACAGGAGGCGACAAGAACAGGGGGCAGACTCAGGACCTGACCGGGACGCAGCAGCAAGCAACTGACCTGACGCAGCCACCTGACCAGACGCAGGGACAGGAGGAGACTCAACGGTCAGGGTGTAGAGACTCGACTCCGGCCGACGCGAGAACGTGGCCAGGTGTCGGCCTGTGCGTGCCTCCGTGTAGTGGGTCACCCGCTGACTCGCAGGAGTGAACTGGTGAACCCCCACATCCTGCAGGTCCGCGCCACTCACCAAGTTCGTAGAGAACGAGGGAAGGTACAGCCCAGACAGGGTGCCCGAAGGGGCAGCCGGACACGGGAGGACAGTGGAGAAGTGAGACAGGACAGGACCCCCAGAGGGGTCAGCAAGGGAGACTGCAACCGGCCGGTCGAGCGGCGTAAGGGTAGTGCGGTCTCGAAAGAAGGAGCGAGAAGCCCCGGAGTCAAGTGTGAAAGTGAGGGAGGACGAGGACGACTCAGTACCTGAGAGCGCAGTCTCACCAGTACCTGAGAGCGCAGACGCACTGGCACCTAGAGCAGCAGCCTCACAAGCACCTAGCGCAGCAGTACCAATGCCCGGGTCGGGCTGGAAACACCGGTAACCCTCATTCTCCTCACTATAAGTCACAGCATACATAGCAGCAAGGATAGCATCAAAATCAAGATCAAAGATCGCTACACCAGCCCTAAGAAGCTCATCCCAGCGAGGGATCTCAGTAGCCCCAGGGAACTGCTGACGCCAAGCGTCCGTCAGGCGGCCAAAGCAGCGCTGGGCAGCGTGGGCACCCCCACACTGCTCACCCGCGCGGTCGCCGGAACGAAGAACGTAGGTGCAGGGACCAGTACCCCCACCCCTCTGACGCCCAGCGTACCACTCACGAAGCTGCTGAGGCGGAAGGATGTCCCGCGAGCGCTGCTGCTGCTGCCGCTGCGAGCGCTGGCCACCACCACCGCCGCTACGCTGCTGGGTACCACCCCGACCAGCTCCACCTCCTCCACCACCACCGCCTCCTCCGCTGCCGCCTCCACCGCCTCCACCTCCGCCGCCTCCACCTCCGCCGCTGCCTCCACCACCACCGCTGGCACCACCGCCACCGTCTCCGCCGCTGCTGCCACCACCACCACCACCACCCCCGCCACTAGTCCCGCCGCCACCCCCACTCCCTCCGCCGCCACCGCCGCCACCGCCACCGCCCCCTCCAGCTCCACCCGCGCCCTTGCCCCCCTTGCTCTTGCTGGAGCGACGTCTCCCACTAGGGGCAGACGCCGCGCCGACCGACTCAAGACCAAGCAGGTCGGCAGCAGCAGCAGAGGCAACAGAGGGCAGCAAGGGGGAAGGAGAGCACCCCTCAAAGATGGGGGTGCGAGGGTCACCACGAGAAGCACCTACAGCGACTATGCTCTTCTCCGCTGCGAGGAGGGCCTTCTCGAGGAGGTCGACGGTGAGGGTGGTGGGACAGACTGCGAGAAAGTGGTCCCTGACGACGCGAAGGGAGTCACGGAGGCGCGCGACTACATAGTAGAGAGCGATGTACATGGGGGGTGGGTTCTTAGCGCAGAACTCAGCAGGAAGGGCGGCGCGGTAGCGAGTGTCACTAGTGCGGAGGTGCGTAATGAGGTCGGCGACAGTGGGAAAGGCAGAGAGGTCAGGAAAGAGGTAGGGAAGCATGAGACGGCTCAGTGCAGCAGTGGCAGGGGAGGAGTAGCGCGCAACTACAGCGTCGTATAAGGTCTGAGCACTCTTGTACTGACTAAAGTGCGCACGCTCAGAGGTAGGGAGGTGGCGACGCACAGCAAGACATGCAGCAGCATCGCGGGTGGCCCACTGAGAGCGGACAGTGGGATCAGCATCAGCAGCAGGAGCAGGAGAGGCGCCAGAGGTGAGGTCAAAGAGAGAAAGGCCGTCAGCCCTGTCGCACTGTAAGAACAGCTGCAGGTCGTCTAACCAGACCTCAAAATCAATGGCGCGACCCTCAGCGTCAAAAGCTAGGACACTAGGGGTAGCCATGACGACGACAGCGAAGCAGGGCAAGCAGTAGGGGAAGAGCACGCAGTGACAGTGCGAGTGTGCTCACCAGGCAGGGCAGGCCGGGCAACTCTGCAGAAGGGCGGCTCGGCGACTCAGTGACTCGGCTGCTGGGCTGCTTGGCTCCCGGGCGGCTCGGCGGCAGGGCGGCTCGGGTGCAGGGCGGCTCGGCGCCCGCGCGGCTCGGCGGCAGGGCGGCTCGGGTGCAGGGCGGCTCGGCTCCCGGGCGGCTCGGCGGCAGGGCGGCTCGGGTGCAGGGCGGCTCGGCTCCCGGGCGGCTCAGCGGCAGGGCGGCTCGGGTGCAGGATGGGGCCGGGACAGGGGACGGCGGGGCCGACTGGTGCAGTGGCGGGGCCGTCAGGGTGCAGCGGTGGGGCCGTGACAGGGGACGGCGGGGTCGTCAGGGTGCAGCGGCGGGGCCGGCAGGGTGCAGCGGCGGGGCCGGGACAGGGGACGGCGGGGCCGTCAGGGTGCAGCGGCGGGGCCGACTGGTGCAGTGGCGGGGCCGTCAGGGTGCAGCGGCGGGGCCGTGACAGGGGACGACGGGGCCGTGACAGGGGACGGCGGGGCCGTCAGGGTGCAGCGGCGGGGCCGACAGAGGTGCAGCGGCGGGGCCGGCAGGGTGCAGCGGCGGGGCCGGGACAGGGGACGGCGGGGCCGTCAGGGTGCAGCGGTGGGGCCGACAGGTGCAGTGGCGGGGCCGTCAGGTTGCAACGGCGGGGCCGAGAGTAGGGGACGGCGGGGCCGTCAAAAGAGGACGGCGGGGCCGTCAGGTGACGGGGCCCGCTGCAGCGACGAAGAGGCCGCGCGGCTGGCGTGAGGGCGGCGCAGCGCGGCAGAGCCGAGAGGGCGGCGCGGCGCGGCCGTAAGGCCAGCACGACGTGGGGCCCGGGCCGCGCGCGCGAAAAAAAGAAGTCGCGCGCGCGACTCGCGGGGCGCCACAAGGGCAGCGCGACAAGCACTAGGGGGGAGCGCGCCTCGGGGAGAATAGGGCGCGCTCCGGGCAGGAAAAAAAATCGTGGGTGGGCCCTTAAAAAAAACGGTCCTTAGGAGGGACCCGCTCTATACCATGTGAGAATCAATGAACAGGAATGGAAATGACTAAGTCAGAGTTGGGTACAAATACAACCCTAGAAATCTGTACCCCATATGTGCTACCCCACTATAGCCTACAAACATGCATCAGCTATGATAATCTGACAGGCCTATCTCTATGGGCGCCTATCTCTAGGGGCGCCTATCTCTATGGGCTCCTATCTCTAAGGGCGCCTATCTCTATGGGCGCCTATCTCTATGGGCAACTATCTCTAGGGGCGCCTACCTCTAGGGGCGCCTATCTCTATGGGTGACTATCTCTTGGGGCGACGATCTCTAGGGGCCCCTATCTCTAAGGGGGCCTATCTCTCGGGGCGCCTATCTCTAGGGGCACCTATCTCTAGGGGCGCCTGTCTCTAGGGGCGCCTATCTCTATGGGCGCCTATCTCTATGGGCGCCTATCTCTAGGGGCGCCTATCTCTATGGGCGCCTATCTCTATGGGTGCCTCGCGCCTATCTCTAGAGGCGCCTATCTCTATGGACACCCATCTCTAGGGACGCCGATCTCTGAGGGCGCCTATCTCTAGGGGCGCCTATCTCTAGGGTCGCTTGCCTCTATGGACGCCTATCTCTAGGGGCGCCTCTCTAGGGGCGCCTATCACTAGGGGCTCCTATCCCTAGGGGCGCCTATCTCTAGGGGCGCCTATCTCTAGGGGCGCCTATCTCTAGGGGCGCCTGTCTCTAGGGGCGCCTATCTCTATGGGCGCCTATCTCTATGGGCGCCTATCTCTAGGGGCGCCTGTCTATATGTGCGCCTATCTCTAGGGGCGCCTATCTCTAGGGGCGCCTAGCTCTAGGGGCGCCTATCTCTATGGGCGCCTATCTCTATGGGCGCCTATCTCTATGGGCACCTCTCTTTAGGGGTGCCAATCTCTAGAGGCGCCTATCTCTATGAGCGCCCCTCTTTACGGGCGCCTATCTCTAGGGGCACCTATCTCTAGGGGCGCCTATCTCCAGGGGCGCCTATCTCTAGGGGCGCCATCTCTATGGGCTCCTTTCCGTAAGGGCGCCTATCTCTATGGGCGCCTATCTCTATGGGCGCCTATCTCTAGGGGCGCCTATCTCTAGGGGCGCCTATCTCTATGGGCGCCTACCTCTATGGGCGCCTATCTCTAGAGGCGCCTATCTATAGGGGCGCCTATCTCTAGGGGGCCCTAACTCTAGGGGCGACTATCTCTAGGGGCGCCTATCTCTATGGGCACCTATCTCTATTGGCGCCTATCTCTATGGGCGCCTATCTCTATGGGCGCCTACCTCTATGGGCGCCTATCTCTAGAGGCGCCTATCTATAGGGGCGCCTATCTCTAGGGGCCCCTATCTCTAGGGGCGACTATCTCTAGCGGCGCCTATCTCTATGGGCGCCTATCTGTAGGGGCGCCTACCTGCATGGGCGTCTATCTCTAGAGGCGCCTATCTCTATGGGCGCCTATCTCTAGGGGCGCCTGTCTCTAGGGGCGCCTATCTCTATGGGCGCCTATCTCTATGGGCGCCTATCTCTAGGGGCGCCTATCTCTATGGGCGCCTATCTCTAGAGGCGCCTATCTCTATGGGAGCCCATCTCTAGGGGCGCCTATCTCTGAGGGCACCTATCTCTAGGTGCGCCTATCTCTATGGGCGCCTATCTCTTGGGGCACCTTTCTCTGGGGGCGCCTGTCTCTAGGGGGGCCTATCTCTAGGGGCGCCTATCTCTAGGGGCGCCTATCTCTATGGGCTCCTATCTCTAAGGGCGCCTATCTCTATGGGCGCCTATCTCTATGGGCAACTATCTCTAGGGGCGCCTATCTCTAGGGGCGCCTATCTCTAGGGGCGACTATCTCTAGGGGCGCCTACCTCTATGGGCACCTATCTCTATGGGCGCCTATCTCTATGGGCGCCTATCTCTATGGGCGCCTACCTCTATGGGCGCCTATCTCTAGAGGCGCCTATCTATAGGGGCGCCTATCTCTAGGGGCCCCTATCTCTAGGGGCGACTATCTTTAGGGGCGCCTATCTCTATGGGCGCCTTTCTCTAGAGGCGCCTATCTCTATGGGCGTCTATCTCTAGAGGCGCCTATCTCTATGGGCGCCTATCTCTATGGGCGCCTATCTCTAGGGGCACCTATCTCTATGGGCGCCTATGTCTATGGGCGCCTCGCGCCTATCTCTAGAGGCGCCTATCTCTATGGGCGCCCATCTCTAGGGGCGGCTATCTCTGAGGGCACCTATCTCTAGGTGCGCCTATCTCTATGGGCGCCTATCTCTAGGGGCACCTTTCTCTGGGGGCGCCTCTCTCTAGGGGGCCCTATCTCTAGGGGCGCCTATCTCTAGGGGCGCCTATCTCTATGGGCTCCTATCTCTAAGGGCGCCTATCTCTATGGGCGCCTATCTCTATGGGCAACTATCTCTAGGGGCGCCTATCTCTAGGGGCGCCTATCTCTAGGGGCGACTATCTCTAGGGGCGCCTATCTCTATGGGCACCTATCTCTATGGGCGCCTATCTCTATGGGCGCCTATCTCTATGGACGCCTACCTCTATGGGCGCCTATCTCTAGAGGCGCCTATCTATAGGGGCGCCTATCTCTAGGGGCTCCTATCTCTAGGGGCGACTATCTTTAGGGGCGCCTATCTCTATGGGCGCCTTTCTCTAGGGGCGCCTATCTCTATGGGCGTCTATCTCTAGAGGCGCCTATCTCCATGGGCGCCTATCTCTATGGGCGCCTATCTCTAGGGGCGCCTATCTCTATGGGCGCCTATCTCTATGGGCGCCTCGCGCCTATCTCTAGAGGCGCCTATCTCTATGGGCGCCCATCTCTAGGGGCGCCTATCTCTGAGGGCACCTTTCTCTAGGTGCGCCTATCTCTATGGGCGCCTATCTCTAGGGGCACCTTTCTCTGGGGGCGCCTGTCTCTAGGAAGCCCTATCTCTAGGGGCGCCTATCTCTAGGGGCGCCTATCTCTATGGGCTCCTATCTCTAAGGGCGCCTATCTCCATGGGCGCCTATCTCTATGGGCAACTATCTCTAGGGGCGCCTATCTCTAGGGGCGCCTATCTCTATGGGTGACTATCTCTAGGGGCGACTATCTCTAGGGGCGCCTGTCTCTAGGGGCGCCTATCTCTATGGGCGCCTATCTCTATGGGCGCCTATCTCTAGGGGCGCCTATCTCTAGGGGCGCCTATCTGTATGGGCACCTATCTCTATGGGTGCCTCGCGCCTATCTCTAGAGGCGCCTATCTGTATGGACACCCATCTCTAGGGACGCCGATCTCTGAGGGCGCCTATCTCTAGGGGCGCCTATCTCTATGGGCGCCTATCTCTAGGGGCGCCTTTCTCTAGGTGCGCCTATCTCTAGGGGGGCCTATCTCTAGGGGCGCCTATCTCTAGGGGCGCCTATCTCGATGGGCTCTTATCTCTAAGGGCGCCTATCTCTATGGGCGCCTATCTCTATGGGCGCCTATCTCTAGGGGCGCCTATCTCTAGGGGCGCCTATCTCTAGGGGCGCCTATCTCTAGGGGCGCCTATCTCTAGGGGCGCCTATCTCTAGGGGCGCCTATCTCTATGGGCACCTATCTCTATGGGTGCCTCGCGCCTATCTCTAGAGGCGCCTATCTGTATGGACACCCATCTCTAGGGACGCCGATCTCTGAGGGCGCCTATCTCTAGGGGCGCCTATCTCTATGGGCGCCTATCTCTAGGGGCGCCTTTCTCTAGGGGGGCCTATCTCTAGGGGCGCCTATCTCTAGGGGCGCCTATCTCGATGGGCTCTTATCTCTAAGGGCGCCTATCTCTATGGGCGCCTATCTCTATGGGCGCCTATCTCTAGGGGCGCCTATCTCTAGGGGCGCCTATCTCTAGGGGCGCCTATCTCTAGGGGCGCTTATCTCTAGGGGCGCCTATCTCTAGGGGCGCCTATCTCTAGGGGCGCCTATCTCTAGGGGCGCCTATCTCTATGGGCGCCTACCTCTATGGGCGCCTATCTCTAGAGGCGCCTATCTATAGGGGCGCCTATCTCTAGGGGCCCCTATCTCTAGGGGCGACTATCTTTAGGGGCGCCTATCTCTATGGGCGCCTTTCTCTAGAGGCGCCTATCTCTATGGGCGTCTATCTCTAGAGGCGCCTATCTCTATGGGCGCCTATCTCTATGGGCGCCTATCTCTAGGGGCACCTATCTCTATGGGCGCCTATGTCTATGGGCGCCTCGCGCCTATCTCTAGAGGCGCCTATCTCTATGGGCGCCCATCTCTAGGGGCGGCTATCTCTGAGGGCACCTATCTCTAGGTGCGCCTATCTCTATGGGCGCCTATCTCTAGGGGCACCTTTCTCTGGGGGCGCCTCTCTCTAGGGGGCCCTATCTCTAGGGGCGCCTATCTCTAGGGGCGCCTATCTCTATGGGCTCCTATCTCTAAGGGCGCCTATCTCTATGGGCGCCTATCTCTATGGGCAACTATCTCTAGGGGCGCCTATCTCTAGGGGCGCCTATCTCTAGGGGCGACTATCTCTAGGGGCGCCTATCTCTATGGGCACCTATCTCTATGGGCGCCTATCTCTATGGGCGCCTATCTCTATGGAGGCCTACCTCTATGGGCGCCTATCTCTAGAGGCGCCTATCTATAGGGGCGCCTATCTCTAGGGGCCCCTATCTCTAGGGGCGACTATCTTTTGGGGCGCCTATCTCTATGGGCGCCTTTCTCTAGGGGCGCCTATCTCTATGGGCGTCTATCTCTAGAGGCGCCTATCTCCATGGGCGCCTATCTCTATGGGCGCCTATCTCTAGGGGCGCCTATCTCTATGGGCGCCTATCTCTATGGGCGCCTCGCGCCTATCTCTAGAGGCGCCTATCTCTATGGGCGCCCATCTCTAGGGGCGCCTATCTCTGAGGGCACCTTTCTCTAGGTGCGCCTATCTCTATGGGCGCCTATCTCTAGGGGCACCTTTCTCTGGGGGCGCCTGTCTCTAGGAAGCCCTATCTCTAGGGGCGCCTATCTCTAGGGGCGCCTATCTCTATGGGCTCCTATCTCTAAGGGCGCCTATCTCCATGGGCGCCTATCTCTATGGGCAACTATCTCTAGGGGCGCCTATCTCTAGGGGCGCCTATCTCTATGGGTGACTATCTCTAGGGGCGACTATCTCTAGGGGCGCCTGTCTCTAGGGGCGCCTATCTCTATGGGCGCCTATCTCTATGGGCGCCTATCTCTAGGGGCGCCTATCTCTAGGGGCGCCTATCTCTATGGGCACCTATCTCTATGGGTGCCTCGCGCCTATCTCTAGAGGCGCCTATCTGTATGGACACCCATCTCTAGGGACGCCGATCTCTGAGGGCGCCTATCTCTAGGGGCGCCTATCTCTATGGGCGCCTATCTCTAGGGGCGCCTTTCTCTAGGTGCGCCTATCTCTAGGGGGGCCTATCTCTAGGGGCGCCTATCTCTAGGGGCGCCTATCTCGATGGGCTCTTACCTCTAAGGGCGCCTATCTCTATGGGCGCCTATCTCTATGGGCGCCTATCTCTAGGGGCGCCTATCTCTAGGGGCGCCTATCTCTAGGGGCGCCTAT